GGCACAATCAAATATTGCATCTTGACCATCGTGTGGTTTTTTAAACAATTTACCATTTAATGTTGCTTTACATTCCTTGCATATTGCATAAAATCGCACGAAACATTTGGCATTGAGGCTTGGAAATACAGCTGCATTTTTAAACGTAAATGCACAGGGAATTTTTGTCTGTTCCCATATCTTTGTCGCAAATATATTGGACCATTCTCCAGGTTTTAATTTTAAATATCGACGGTTTCTATATTGTTTAACGATAGGCTTTATATCATTCCAGTTTTTGTCAGAAATAATAAGTTTGAAAATCTTATTATTACCTAATTTATTTTGGCATTCAGGTGAATACTCGGAAAAACTTTCATCAATTGCCTCATTGGGAGAATTTTTAATATTTTTACCTAATTTAAATGCTTTTATTGTGGCAGTACGCATACCGCGTCTATCTGTATTTAATATCGTATATATATGTTTCGGACTTATATATGAATCTATTTCTTTCATTTTTTCACTTATTTTTTTATACATAGCATTTGAGGGTGGAAAACATTTTCCATTTACATCTATGCATCTATATTCTGGAGTTGTCAATATTTGTATCAATTTATTTTGATCGTACATTTTTTCAACTAAAACTAATTCAATAATATATGTATGATATACTTAATATTATAACTGCTGTTTATATACATATCTCAATACAAAGAAAAAAAAATAAAAATTTAGGATGGAAAAATAATGCCGAAATGCATCAAAGTGGTATGCTCTCTCTCATTTAAGATTATGCCGAATATTTATAAAAAATATCGTACACAAAGTGTTCCTGATCTGAAATCGAGACACGAGTTCACGAGAATGACAGTCCGATATGTCCGTCTCCTATGCAGAGATGCCGTCAGAGCTGGTCAGAGCTGGTCAGAGCAATGATGCCGGAACGAAGACGCGGCTCATCGGCAGTGGAGGGGATAACGTATGAGCTCGGCGTCCTCGGCTAGCTTCAGCTGCTTTCGCTTGGGTGCGTTATCCCCTCCACTGCCGATGTCGGTGAGCCGCGTCTTTTGTTACACAAAGGGCTTCAGCATATCCAAGATGCTATTAATGACGTAATTATGTCAAAACAAACGTGCGTAAAATGTAATAATTCGTGCCACATTATAGAAAAATATGGTCCACAAATTATAATAGACACAAGTATTGTAACTGATGAAAACTATTTGAAAAATATAGGATTAGAAGCTATTAGAAGCTATAGCTTACAAAATATTGCGAAAAACGTCACAATTGGTGATAACAAATATCTATTAAGAGGAGTTGTCAATTATATCAAGAGTGCATGCCATTATACCGCTTTGTTATTTACCAATGCTTCTTGGTATGAATATGACGACTTGAAATTAAAGAGAACACAAGTGTCAGCGAGTAAATACATGATAGTGCCACATGCATTAATATATGCACAAATAATATAAATTAAATTAATAATATAAACTAAAATATTTAAGAAAAATTTATTCCATATTATAATATACTTATATTCCATATTATACTTATATAATACTTATATACTTTAATTATTTGAATGTTCTTATTAAAATAAAGCACAAAAAATATAAATATAAAAAACTAAATAAAATAAAAAAAATAAATATAAATAAAAAAAAATAAAAAAATAAATATAAATGTAAAAAAACAAAAAAAACAAAAAAAGAAAAAGAAAAAAGGAACCATTATCTCGTCACGTCCACGCCGTGTTCTGGGTTACGCTAAGAACGAGAAAAATTCCATTCTTCAGTTCCATTCCTAATTCGGAAATAGTTTCAAAGAAGAAAAAATTTTCTAATTTAAATTATACTCGAAGATTTTTTTACTCGTTCTTCGAATAAAAAAATTGTTCAAAAAATTTTCCAATCGTTTTTATCATAAGAACTCTTTGGAAAAGCACTGTATATGCCCAGAACTATGCGAGAACTGCTTTGGAATAAACAGAACTGTCGAAATACATCCAGCATATCATCTCTATACTCGAAAATACTCGTTTCTCTGGAAGAAAAATTTTTTAAACAATTTTCCAATCGTTTTTATCGTGAGAACTCTTTGGAAAGGCACTGTATATGCCCAGAACTATGCGAGAACTGCTTTGGAATACACAGAACTGTCGAAATACATCCAGCATATCATCTCTATACTCGAAAATGCTCGTTTTTCGGGAAGAAAAATTTTTTTACAAATTTTCCAATCGTTTTTATCGTGAGAACTCTTTGGAAAAGCACTGTATATGCCCAGAACTATGCGAGAACTGCTTTGGAATAAACAGAACTGTCGAAATACATCCAGCATATCATCTCTATACTCGAAAATACTCGTTTCTCTGGAAGAAAAATTTTTTAAACAATTTTCCAATCGTTTTTATCGTGAGAACTCTTTGGAAAGGCACTGTATATGCCCAGAACTATGCGAGAACTGCTTTGGAATACACAGAACTGTCGAAATACATCCAGCATATCATCTCTATACTCGAAAATGCTCGTTTTTCGGGAAGAAAAATTTTTTTACAAATTTTCCAATCGTTTTTATCGTGAGAACTCTTTGGAAAAGCACTGTATATGCCCAGAACTATGCGAGAACTGCTTTGGAATAAACAGAACTGTCGAAATACATCCAGCATATCATCTCTATACTCGAAAATACTCGTTTCTCTGGAAGAAAAATTTTTTAAACAATTTTCCAATCGTTTTTATCGTGAGAACTCTTTGGAAAAGCACTGTATATGCCCAGAACTATGCGAGAACTGCTTTGGAATAAACAGAACTGTCGAAATACATCCAGCATATCATCTCTATACTCGAAAATACTCGTTTCTCTGGAAGAAAAATTTTTTAAACAATTTTCCAATCGTTTTTATCGTGAGAACTCTTTGGAAAGGCACTGTATATGCCCAGAACTATGCGAGAACTGCTTTGGAATACACAGAACTGTCGAAATACATCCAGCATATCATCTCTATACTCGAAAATGCTCGTTTTTCGGGAAGAAAAATTTTTTTACAAATTTTCCAATCGTTTTTATCGTGAGAACTCTTTGGAAAAGCACTGTATATGCCCAGAACTATGCGAGAACTGCTTTGGAATAAACAGAACTGTCGAAATACATCCAGCATATCATCTCTATACTCGAAAATACTCGTTTCTCTGGAAGAAAAATTTTTTAAACAATTTTCCAATCGTTTTTATCGTGAGAACTCTTTGGAAAGGCACTGTATATGCCCAGAACTATGCGAGAACTGCTTTGGAATACACAGAACTGTCGAAATACATCCAGCATATCATCTCTATACTCGAAAATGCTCGTTTTTCGGGAAGAAAAATTTTTTTACAAATTTTCCAATCGTTTTTATCGTGAGAACTCTTTGGAAAAGCACTGTATATGCCCAGAACTATGCGAGAACTGCTTTGGAATAAACAGAACTGTCGAAATACATCCAGCATATCATCTCTATACTCGAAAATACTCGTTTCTCTGGAAGAAAAATTTTTTAAACAATTTTCCAATCGTTTTTATCGTGAGAACTCTTTGGAAAGGCACTGTATATGCCCAGAACTATGCGAGAACTGCTTTGGAATAAACAGAACTGTCGAAATACATCCAGCATATCACCTCTCTCTATATATCTATAGATAAGAGGTTTTGCAGTTTTTTATTTTATTTTATATTTTTCTTAATTTAGAATGTAGAACTCTTCTTAGAACTCATGTAGAACTATAAATCTTTTAAATTTAAACAATTATTGATGGCGAAAATGTCATAGGACAAAGTGATTTGCTGCGTGAAGTTGGCATATCAGTTTGTCCTAAGGCATTTTCTTTGCTTTAATCACCAGAACTATTTGTTTAAATCATCAAGAACTCTAGAACTATTGTAAATAAAATCAGAACTCTTAATTATTTATGATTTTCTACAAAATGATACGCTAACTTCACACACACGTCTGCCGGCGTGCGGCGAAACGTGAAAATGGCGATGGCGATAACCACGGGTAGCAGCGCGCTGTCTTTCCCCTCGCCGCGCGCCGACAAGCAATGTCTGATATGGTGGGCCGTATTATAGCTCGAGCGATCGAGCGCTTTTCTCATTCGTCCGATTTCAATAATTAATATTTCTATCATTATTGCAAAAATCATTACATGGAATAGGACTTCTTTATTTAATTTACTGCGCTTTACCTCTTCACAAGTGCGTGAGGTAGTGCTCAGAGACACCCTATTTATATATAACAATCAGAAAAATATATTCTCAGGAAATCCTACGGATAATTTTTTATCGTCTGTATTGTTTATTCGATCAAATCAGGATGTCCTACGGAAATCTTATGTTATACGAGATATCCTCCTGGAATATCAATCCTATGGATGACTTTTTAATTTCGATCAAATTAGGATGTTCTATGGAAATCTTATGTTATGTGGGATGTAATTGTTTTTTAAGAAAATACATGAATTTGCACGAGCAGCTACATATTTTTTCTTAAGAACAACTGTGTTATGTATTTTCTTTATACTGTTTGATTTTTATTTAATCTTTTTCAATATATTGTAAATCTATTTGTAAATCTATCATTTGAAACTTAAAAGATTCTATGTTTTACTTTCGTATGAGTAAAAAAGATTAAAATCGAAGACGCATAAAAAACTGATTTTTGGAAGTAAAAGTCTGTAAAATATACCAAAATATCTGTAAAATATTTTCTTTACCTAGAAGTTTAAACAAAAATAGAAGATCAGGAAATTATTTTACAAGATTTATATAGACATTCTTAATATTATAGACTCGCTTCTTCGAGAGCTATCAAGTGATGTTATTTTTGTTAAAGATTTTTATTTGAAAAATTTAAGAAAATTAAATTTCCTCTCTTCTCCCTTCTCGCCCTCTTTTTAATTTTCTTAAGAAAAGATAATTTATGATGAAAAGGTTTCTTTATGATGAAAATCATTTAATATTTTTGAACATAGGTGTTAATTTCCTTGTATGGGACGTCGGTGGACAGGAAAAGTTACGGCCATTATGGAAATCATACACAAGATGCACAGACGGTATCATTTTCGTCGTTGACTCCTGCGACACCGAGAGGCTTGAAGAGGCGAAAATGGAACTTACTAGGACAGCGAGGAGTCCAGACAATGCGAATGTGCCGATTCTAATTCTCGCCAACAAACAGGATTTACCTGGTATATAACCGATACTACAAACATTATACATATGTACACATAAAGGACAATGGGACAAGACATTTTTCGAAAGGTATACGTAAACAACACGAAGCACATCGCTTAATCACTAGAGCTTATCAAACTAAATTAATTATTTATTTAAATTTAGTTAATCATTGATTAAATATATAAAATATGCAATTCTTGTTTTATAAGGATTTATTAATAAATTCATTGTTGTTTCGAGAGCAGTATGTGGACAGGTAATGGTCCCATCAAAACAAATCCCTATCGCATGAGCCACGGCCATCTAAAGGAAGGGAGCGCTCTGATTGGCTATCACCATAGTGATAGTGTGCTCTGATTGATTCGTTCTGTAAAGTGCTCTTTAAAATTGTGCAAGTCCCCTTCAAACTTGGACAAATTTCTTGCAAAATCTTCGAAAATTTCATCAAAATCAAGCATTCTTGTTAAAAATCACTGAATTTTGAAAGAGAAGGGCGAGAAGAATAAAGTGTCAAATGGGGAAGAGAGCTTATCGAAATTATCGGATACGGTGATATATATATATATATATATATATATATATATATATATATATATATATATACCGTCAATTTTCGATCTTAACGAAATAAGGAAGTAGATTGGCTCAAATTAAGAAGGAATGACCTGTATTGTTTTGGGATTGTCGCAAAACGAAAAATTAAATAAAGAAGATCGGCTAATCTGCGTAAGTAGAAGCGCGCGGCAACAAGAGTCGTCCCACTGTAATCCGATACTACGAGCGCGGCGAAGTGGTGGGCGGGTCGCTCTTCGAGACATGATGGTGGTTTGCGATATATCGCAATACCGCGCCGAAAAATGACCCGTCCTTTTAGTGGCGAGAAATTGATGCGCTATCATTTCCACACCACCTTGCGGTAGATAGCATGGTGCGCTTTTTTTATAGTGGTTTCCCCCATAAGCCTAGTCCACTCTCAATTTGAAAATTATTCAAAATTCCATTACTATACGCTGAATATATCGTAAATGTAAAAAATTAATGGTGACAGTACCTTTACAAAAATTGATCCGTGGTTGAAAATCCCTTGATAAAAAATGTATTGCACACGTTGATAATGATACGATGATAAAATGCTTCAAGAATCCTTTCTTCATCTCGTACACGAAGGCGCACTGCTGAACCAGTTATCCCGATATTATGCACGACACCCAGTTTCACATAATTATTGCACAACACGTAAAATTGTACGGCCACTTGGTTTTCATGCACGCCCGAGAAATGTTTCCATGTAAATTGCGGCCGCACGATAAGTATTTTCTCCCGCTAGTCCGTATGCTACAATCATATCCGTATATTCCTGCAAAGTACACTTCATTTTCACTGTTAATTTACTACGCAAACACAAGATTTTTATTAAAATGTCTTAGCTCTCGCACGCTGTTACCAGTTATTGCGTACGCCAGCAGCACGCAACTACAGCTGACAGCTGAGCGGACATGTAAGTGTAAGCGTACGTGTGAGTTCGACGCACTATGATTACACTCACATGTCCGCTCAGCTGTCAGCTGTAGTTGCGTGCTGCTGGCGTACGCAGTCTGGTAACAGCGTGCGAGAGCTAAGACGTTTTAATAAAAATCTTGTGTTTGCGTAGTAAATTAACAGTGAAAATGAAGTGTACTCTGCAGGAATATACGGATATGATTGTGGCATACGGACTAGCGGGAAAAAATACTTATCGTGCGGCCGCAATTTACATGGAATCATTTCCCGGGCGTGCACGAAAACCAAGTGGCCGTACAATTTTAGGTGTTGTGCAATAATTATGTGAAACTGGGTGTCGTGCATAATATCGGGATAACTGGTTCAGCAGTGCGCCTTCGTGTACGAGATGAAGTAAGGATTCTTGAAGCATTTTATCATCATTATCAACGTGTGCAATACATTTTATCGAGGGATTTTCAACCATGAATCATTTTTTGTAAAGGTACTGTCACCATTAATTTTTTACATTTACGATATATTCAGCGTATAGTAATGGCATTTTGAATAATTTTTAAATTGAGAGTGGACTAGACCTATGGGGGAAACCACTATTAAAAAAGCGCACCATGGTATCTACTGCAAGGTGGTGGAAATGATAGCGCATCATTTTCTCGCCACTAAAAGGACGGGTCATTTTTCGGCGCGGTATTGCGATATATCGCAAACCACCATCATGTCTCGGAGAGCGATCCGCCCACCGCGTCGCCGCGCTCGTAGTATCAAATTACAGTGGGACGACTCTCGTCGCCGCGCGCTTCTACTCACGCAGATTGGCCGATCTTTTTTATTTAATTTTTCGTTAATTATTGCGACAATTCCAAAACAATATAGGTCATTCTTTCTTAATTTGAGTCAATCTACTTCCTTATTTCGTTAAGATCGAAAATTGACGGTATATATATATATATATATATATATATATATATATATATATATATATATATACAGGGTGTCTTATTTTAACTTGGACAGTAAAATATCTCAAAAACTAAGCCCAGCAAACAAAAATGTTTCAGATAAAAGTTGTATGGTTTCGAGGGGACATAAGATGGTACCATTGGTTTGACCTTGAAGAGTTATTTGAAGTTCACTTAAAGGTCACCTTCAATTTCTTAAATAGAACCTACACTTTCTCATTACATATTCTTGTAGCTTATCTCGAGAGCTTTCCAAAACACTATAAAGTATTTCTTCATTGAGAACTTTTCGAGTTATGAGGGTTGATATCATTTCTTAATTTTACATAAACCATAAAATGTCTAGTAAAATATTCATTTTTCGATTATCTTACCTTAATGCTTTTATGTAGAAAATAATGAGAGGAATCAATTGATGTAAATAATACATACAGTTGTTTTTAAGAAAAAATATGTAATTGTTAATTGTAAATTACAAGTGTCCAAGTTAAAATGGGACGCTCTGTATATATATCACCGTATCCGATATGTATATATATATATATATATCCCTGTATATATATATATATACATATATATGTACAGGGTATTCCATTTTGAAAGTTCCAACCTTATAACTTTTTTAATTTTGATTGTAGAAAAAAATGTTTCAGACGAAAGTTGTATGGCTTGAAGGGAGAACATAAGATGGTGTCATTAGTTTGACATTAAAGAGTCACCTGAAGATTACGTGAAGGTCACATGTAACTTTTTGAGCGGGACACTCTATATGCTTTCGCATATTCTTATAGTTCATCTCGAGAGCTTTTCAAAATACTAATTAAGTTAGTTTTCATTAAGTACTTTCCGAGTTATGAGGCTTGAAATCATTTTTTAATTTTACATAAACCGTAAAATATCTAATAAAATATTTATTTTTCGATTATTCTACCTTAATACTTTTATGTACAAAATAATGAGAGGAATCAATTGGTGTAAAGAAAAGACGTAGTTATTTTTAAGAAAAAAAAATGTAATTGTTAATTGTAAATTACATTTTTTTTCGAAACAATTATGTGTTTTCTTTACACCAATTGATTCCTCTCATTATTTTGTACATAAAAGTATTAAGATAATCGAAAAATGAATATTTTACAAGATATTTTACGATTTATGTAAAATTAATAAGAAATGATTTCAAGAAATGATTTTATAACTCGGAAAGTACTTAATGAAAACTAACTTAATTATAGTGTTTTGGAAAGCTCTCGAGATGAACTATAAGAATATGTAAAAGCATATATTGTGTCCCGTTTAAAAAGTTGGATATGATCTTCACGTGACCTTCAGATAACTCTTCAAGGTCAAACTAATGGCACCATCTTATGTCCCTCTTGAAACCATACAACTTTGTCTGAAACATTTTTCTCTAAATTGCTTCGTTTTCGAGATATAAATTTGTAACATTTTACGTGGACTACCCTGTTTATGTATATATAAGGGAGTGACAGTTTTTTGGACCACTCGATTGAACATGTAGTATTAGACACTGAATGATTGGACACGCACTCTGCACGATTGAATCTTATTTCGCGTGGAATATTGCAAACCCATGTGGAACTGTACAATAATAAACCTCGTTTAATACTGAAAGCACACGACGGTGTGTGTTAAACCTCATTTCGCGTGGAATATTGCAAACCCGTATGGAACGGTGTCTAATCATACAGTATCCAATTATCGTTCAATGTCCAATCGTTCAATGTGCAATCGTATAGTGTCCAATCGTTATATGTCCAAACGGGATGTGTCCTATGTAAGGGAAGGACTAGAATGGAAGAGAAATAAAATAGGAAATGAAAAAAAAAATAATCACGAATTCTTTAGAAGAAATCCACAGCGATTAGAAAAGGTTTAATCGCGAATTCCTCTCGAAGAAATCCTCAGCAATCGAAGGGAAATGAGGCGTTTAACTGCGCATGTCTTTAAAAAAGTCCTCAGGAATTAACAGGAAACAAGGAGTTTAATCAAAAAATTTTCTCTAAGGAAATCTACAACAATTAGGAGAAGTAAAAGGCAAGGAAGAGAAAAATGAGAAGCTGAAAGAATGAACTTCTCAGATAGCACATGGACGTCCTATTGACGTCCATTAGATATTCGAGTTCGGACATTGGGACATCCAACAGACATGTGAATTAAGTTGGACGGACATCCATTGAATGTCCATAAGACGCCGATTTTTCACAAGTTCGGACGTTCAAAAAGGATTAATACTCAAAAAAGGACCTAAAATGCATGTTATTTTCAGTGTCCTGTTCTTCCAAGTTATTGTTGAAATAAACAAAAATTTATAAATTCAGAAAAAAGTTCATATTTAATTATATATAATTGTGTAGATATAATTATGTATGGATTTTGACCTAATTTAATCATATATATAAAATTATTTTTGATTATACATAAATAAATCGCATTGCATCCTTTATAACATATAAAACATTTGGCCCAACAAAATTAAATAATATAATTAAATAATATAATTTATCTATTTCATATAAAATTTTACATAAAAGTTTTATATTTTATTTATATTTATACTTGCTTATCATAGGCAGAACAGGACATCCTATGGACATTCATTTTATGTCCATTTTATGTCCATTTTATGTCCGTTCCATAAATATGAAATGAACGTCCATTGTACATCCGTTAACGGCCAATATTTGGACATATAATAATTGGATATTAAAAATATATTATAAATATCGGCCAATTCGGGAGAGTGAAAGCGTGCCGCGAAAAAGACTGTATTTTGTTAACTACTCTTAACTATGTACTATTTTATCTCATTTTCTCCGCTCTTCAACTAATCTAAATAAATCATAGAACAAGCCAATCAGAGCATGCTGCTACTATGACAATAGACAATCAGAGCACTGCCTTCCTTCGAAATAGCCACGTCTCCTACGCTAATAACGGTATAGTGAGGATTTATTTTGACGGATTAGATTTCCTGCCCATATACTACTTTCAAGTAACACTTTAATTATTTCGGAAAGTGATATAAGAACAATTTTTGTGCGCTTTTGCGCATGTACAACTCTTGTTGTAAAAATCTTGCCCATTTACTCAGCAAAAACCGTATTTATTATTTTTTTAATAATATATAATATTTTTTTCTATTTGAAGAGATCTTCTTCCTCTACTATTTTTTTTTCTTTCTCCTTTTCATTTTTGTTCTTCATTTCTTTCTCCTATTTTTTCTCCGTTTTCTTTTTTTTCTCTTTTTCCCTTCTCTTTTCTTTTTTCTTTTTCTTGTTCACTTGCTAACTTATTTAGTTTTTTATTTATTCATTTATATATTTATTCACTCATTACCTATAACATAAAATAACTTAATGTTTCCTCTTTTTGTCTTTTAATATCTTTCTTTCTTCCTCTTTTTGTCTCTTTCTCTCTCTTCCTTTTTTACTATCTCTTTCTTTCTCATTCTTCTCTTCTTTTTCTCCTTTTTCTCTCGTTTCATTTTCTTTTTCCCTTTTCTCTTCTTTTTTCTTCTCTCTTTTCTTCTCTTTTTTTTTTTCTTCTTCTCTTTTCCTTCTTTTTTTTTCTTTTTTTCTCTTTCTTGTTCTTTTTTTTAACTTTTTTTAATCTATTAAGTTTATTCAATTAATTTTTTGCTTTGGAATACATCTAGTTTATTTATATCTAGTTTATCTATATATTATATGAATAGTTTATGTGTGGGAGAAGTTTAATATAATCAGTAGGTAAATAATGATATATAGTAGACATAATTCTAGTTTGAATATTTTACTTCGCTTTGTTAATAAGCTATCTATGATCTAGGTGCGAAGGAAGTCAGCGAACTGGAAAAGCATTTGGGAGTGTTAGAACTAACTGGTATGCCTGGTAGTTCTTGTATTCGTGTACAACCAGCGTGTGCTATTACGGGTGAAGGACTCCACGAAGGTTTAGACACGCTATATCAATTGATTTTAAAGCGACGCAAGCTGGCTAAATTGAATCGGAAACGAGCCAGGTAGGCCAGGGCATCGGAAGACTGCACATGCGTCTTCTGATATTGTCAGTAGCGGACAGTTTCTTTTCTAGCAACATTTTTCACTACTTCCACTTTATTTTTCTTTCCCAATTGTGATGAAGAAATAACCCAGTGACTTGAAAGAGACCAATGGTGTCAATCATCTCTTTTTAATTTTTATTTGCGTTAAAACTAACGATGTTGAAGCGATGCAAAGCTTGCATTGAGCTTTTGTATGTGCGTGTATGTATGTTTGTACATATAACTATACATATATCAATTATAGAGCTGCATTGATATAAAAAAAAAATGAGAATGAGGGATTTTAACGATTGTTGTTCCTCGTTCTATATTAGATTGTTGCATATAAGATATGAATTTTTTAATTCAAAGTTGAAAGAATTGTTATTTAAATATGTAGAAAATTTTAACTAATTTATGAATGTGTTATAGCTGCGAGTGTATTCAGTTTGCTTAGATAATGAAAAACGAGCAAAGTATGAAAAAATGGTTTTGAGATATTGACAAACTTTTTTTGTCTAATTCAGAAAAAATATTAATTTATCATTTAACTTGCACCTTTAACTACGAAATTAAGTATGAAAATAAGAACCAATTGTGCCAAAAATGACAAGATAAAAATGATGTTCAATGATGATTTATGAAATTTGATACCAAAAGGTTCTTTGGACCATTGAATACAAATTTGAGATCCAGATTCAAAATGATTAATTCAGAGATGTACGTTAATAATTTATTAAAAATTATGTTTGTTATTAAGTTTTATAATAATATTAATCATTAATATTAACATTAATTTAATTTGATTAACTTACTTGTTTTATTTTATGAAACCCTGGCGAAAATAAATATCGGAGCATAAATCGAATATAAAGAAAGAGTAACGAAGTGTTAACGCTTCATTTACATTTTGTTGTTTCAATTTACGTCTCCTAAAAGTTTCGTTTACACTTCTGTTACTCTTTCCTTACATTCGACTTACGCTCCGATATTTATTTTCGCCAGGGAATAACTGATTTAAATCCACAAGATAGTTATACAATAGTTAACTGTAATTTTATGGAATACAGAAGTTTTTTGCATTATTCGAAATTTTTAATCACCGCATCCAAACTATCATTTTCAACTTAAATTCATATTCAGCGATAAAAAACTCCTTAGTACCGAGTTTTGATCCGTCAATTTATTGAGATTTTTTAAGATTTTAATCGCCATTTTGAATCAGCCATTTTGAATTTTGACATCAAATTCGTGGTACATCTTTTTTCGTGTCATATGGTGTCAATATTAATCAAATAGTTAATGTTACTTTTGGCACTATTTATAAATAAATTTACAAGTACGGAATAATATATTTATATTTTGTTATATGAATAAAAAATTACTTTGATGATATAAAATTTATTGAAATTTATGTTAAGTTGAATTTTGTATGCAACAATATAATGGTTAAGATAATCAAATATAAATATAAATGTGTGACAATGCTAGTCGACTGAGACAATTTTATCATTGCGATGAAGAAAAAAGTTCATATGAAAGTGGTATATAAGTGTAAGTAAAAATTTGTAAATAAATTGGAAAAAATTATAATTTTATGTTGACAAATTTAAGATGCATATTAACATGAACAACGAAATTCAATGTGGAAAATATGTATAGTCATCTTAACATATAACATCTTAAATTATCTAGCAATATTTTAATAAATGCTATTATTGTTATATTATTATTGCTACAACGCTCTTATATTTTTCGAATACAAACAACGGCAATATGTTCTATTTATATATGCAAAGAATTGAATGTTTATTTCTTAAAGTTCATATCTATTTGTAAAGCTTTTATTATGAACATAAATGTATAAATGTATAAATGTATTTGTTATTAAGGAAACATGATTTTATTACTATAAGATACAATAAAGTGCAATTTTATTAATTTAATTTTCTTCCATATTTAAAATTAATCTACAAATCTAATAAATCAATGTGTGTTTGCGATTAATTACATTATATTAAGTTTAATTGTAAATTGCAAATTACATATTTTTTCTTCGAAACAATTATGTGTTTTCTTTACACCAATCGATTTTTCACATTATTTTGTGCATAAAAGTATTAAGGTAATCGAAAAATGAATATTTTACAAGATATTTTACGGTTTATGTAAAATTAAGAAATGATTTTAAGCCTTATAACTCGAAAAGTACTTAATGAAAAAATACTTGATTATAATCCTTTGAAAAGCTCTCGAGATAAGCTATAAGAATATGCAATAAAAAATTAGGCTTCAACACTCTTCAAGGTCATACTGATATCGCCATGTAATGCGTTACTTGAAACTTTACAACTTTTGTCTGAAATATTTTTGTCTCCTTCGCTCAGTTTTTGAGATATTCGGTTGATTCAGGTGGTCTGCGACTGTATACATATACAGGGTTGGGCAAAAGTCCGGAAACGGTCAAATATCTCGAAAAGGATCAACTATAGCGAAAAATTGTAAATAGCAAAGTTGTAGGGCTTAAAAAATGTACCTAATGATGACTAAAAATTTTACTTTGAGTGTAGGACGAAGATCATATAAAAGTCAAATTGAATTTTTTAAATGGAACTGCCTACTTTTTATTGCATATTCTTATAGCTTATCTCGAGACCTTTCCAAAACACTACAGACAAATGTTTTTTCATTAAGTACTTTTTGAGTTATAAGGCTTCAAAGTTTGCAGTACTTCGATATAAAATGCAAAATATCTCGTAAAATATTTAGTTTTCGGTAGTCTTACCCTAATACTTTTATGCACAGGATAATGAGACAAAACTATTGGTGCAAAGAAAACGTATGATTGTTTATAATAAAAAATGTGTAATTTGCAATGCACTTTTTGTTATAAACAATCATGCGTTTTCTTTGTACCAATAGTTTTGTCTCATTATCCTGTGCATAAAAGTATTAGGGTAAGACTACCGAAAACTAAATATTTTACGAGATATTTTGCATTTTATATCGAAGTACTGCAAACTTTGAAGCCTTATAACTCAAAAAGTACTTAATGAAAAAACATTTGTCTGTAGTGTTTTGGAAAGGTCTCGAGATAAGCTATAAGAATATGCAATAAAAAGTAGGCAGTTCCATTTAAAAAATTCAATTTGACTTTTATATGATCTTCGTCCTCCACTCAAAGTAAAATTTTTAGTCATCATTAGGTACATTTTTTTAAGCCCTACAACTTTGCTAGTTACAATTTTTCGCTATAGTTGATCCTTTTCGAGATATTTGACCGTTTCCGGACTTTTGCCCAACCCTGTATATCCTGTATGCATACATATATATATATATATATATATATATATATATATATATATATATATATACGAGGTGTGTTCAAAAAAAGGTGACTTTTCAAATTTCGCGGACTACGTACATTCGATTTTGGAATTTTTTTTTTGTTATGTTGGTACACATGTCCCCAACATATGTTGACATTATCAGCTGTTTTGCATGTTTGGTTTGTTTTTCACAGATATAAGGGTTAGACGTGTTTTGGTGTGCTTGGCGATCGAAAAAAATGGATCAAAGAATCTGTATTAAATTTGGTGTGAAAAATAAAATTAAGTGCTCTGAAATGTTGACTGCGGCATTTGGCGAGTTTACTCTGAGCAAAAAAATGTTTACAAGTGGTACAAGCTCTTCACAGAAGGTCGAGAAGATGTTAATGACGATGTCCGCCCTGGACGCTCCAGCACGTCAACAACCGATGACAACGTCGAAGCAGTGAAGAAAATTGTTATGGAGAATCGTCGAATCACTATTAGAGAAGTTGCTGAGGATGTCGGCATATCGGTTGGCTCATGCCATGCAATTTTTTCGGGTGTTTTGGGCATGCAACGTGTGGCGGCGAAGTTTGTTCCGAAATTGCTGAATTTCGACCAAAAACAACGTCGCGTAGACATTGCTTAGGAGCTGTTGAATGTCGTCAACGACGATCCAGATTTGCTCAAAAGGGTCATAACTGATGACGAATCATGGATATATGGCTATGACGTCGAAACCAAAGCCCAATCATCCCAATGGAAGCGGCCAGAAGAGCCAAGACTGAAAAAAGCTCGTCAAATTAGGTCAAATGTGAAGGTTTTGCTCACTGTTTTCTTCGATTACAATGGCGTGGTGCATCGTGAGTTCTTGCCATATAGTCGTACGGTCAATAAGGAATATTACCTTGAAGTTATGCGCCGTTTACGTGAAGCAATACGAAAAAAACGCCCGGAATTGTGGAAGAACCAGTCATGGATATTGCACCACGATAATGCGCCAGCTCACACGTCGTTGCTTGTTCGTGATTTTTTGGCCAAAGTCAACACCGTAACCATGCCTCAGCCACCGTATTCACCGGACTTGGACCCCTGCGACTTTTTCTTGTTCCCAAAACTGAAAAGACCCATGAAAGGACGGAGATTTGCCACGATTGAGGAGATAAAGCTTTGATATGCGCTTTTTGGTATGGTCTCGAGCTCTTGCGCATCGCTGGAAGAGCTCGAGACCATATCAAAAAACGCATATCAAAAGTGCTTCGAGGATTGGAAAAAGCGCTGGCACAAGTGTATAATATCTGAGGGGGATTACTTTAAAGGGGACAAAATAGATATTGATGAATAAATAAATATTTTTCGAGAAAAATAAAGTCACCTTTTTTTTTGAACACACCTCGTATATATATATATATGTATATATATATATATGTATGTATATATATATATATATATATATATACAACGTGTCCCGAAACTCATAATCAATCTTTCAAAGACAGATTCCTGAGATCATCTGAAGACAATTTTTCCTCAACGAAAATGTCGAGACACTAATAATTTTCGAATTATAAGTGATTGGAAATAAAGGGTTTTTCGTAAACTAAGCTGTGTAGAAATAAAATATTAATAAAACCACATTCTTCGATTAATTTTAAATAGAGTTTACTTTAGTTGAGTTTTAATTTAAGGCTTAATTGCAAAGATATATGATGACAAAAATCGGGAACATGCAAAAAATGATGGCCTTTATCGACATTTTCGCTGAGGAAAAATCGTCCAAATAATCCCAGGAATCTGTCTTTGAAAGATTGATTATGAGTTTTGGACACCCTGTATATATACAGTGATGGGAAAAAGTTCCGGAACGGCTGGATAATTTGAAAAATACGCATCACAGAGGAAAATGACCTAGACAAAAGTTGTAGGATTTTTCCCGGGCAATCCGACGGTGACCTTAGATTTGACCTTGGATAGTCATTTGAAGGTCACATAAAGATTACCTTCAATTTCTTAAATGGAACCTCCTATTTTTCATTGCATATTCTTGTAGATTATCTCGAGAGCTTTCCAAAACACTATAATTAAGTACCTTTTTATTAAGTACTTTTTGAGTTATAAGGCTTGAAATAATTTCTTAATTTTACATAAACCATAAAATATCTAGTAAACCATTCATTTTTCGATTATCTTACCTTCATACTTTTATGTACAAAATAATGAGAGGAATCAATTGGTGTAAAGAAAACACATAGTTGTTTCTAAGAAAAAATATGTAATTTGCAATTAACAATTCCATATTTTTTCTTAAAAACAACTGTATGTTTTCTTTACACCAATTGATTCCTCTCATTATTTTGTACATAAAAGTATGAAGGTAAGATAATCGAAAAATGAATGGTTTACTAGATATTTTATGGTTTATGTAAAATTAAGAAATTATTTCAAGCCTTATAACTCAAAAAGTACTTAATAAAAAGGTACTTAATTATAGTGTTTTGGAAAGCTCTCGAGATAATCTACAAGAATATGCAATGAAAAATAGGGGGTTCCATTTAAGAAATTGAAGGTAATCTTTATGTGACCTTCAAATGACTATCCAAGGTCAAATCTAAGGTCACCGTCGGATTGCCCGGGAAAAATCCTACAACTTTTGTCTAGGTCATTTTCCTCTGTGATGCGTATTTTTCAAATTATCCAGCCGTTCCGGAACTTTTTCCCATCAGTGTATATATATATATATATATATATATATATATATATATATTTATATATATATATATATATATATATATATATATATTTATATATATATATATATATATATATTTATATATATATTTATACAGAGTGTCTGAAAACTTTTCGCAATCCCGAAGTGTGAAGGTAGATTGGCTCAAATTAAGAAGGAAGGTCCTGTGGCCCTTAAGAAGGAGAATCCTGTTTAGTGATATTTGCAATAATTAACGAAAAATTAATTTAAAAAAATCGGCCAATACGCGTGGCTAGAAGCGCGTGGCGGCGAAAGCGATTTCACTGTAACATGATGACGGCGCACGATAAAGCGATGATTGGGGAGAGGAGAAGCGATGAGTGTGTAGGCGCGCAGCGAAGGCTTCTCCCATCCTCAATCATCGCTTTACCGCGCGCCGCCATTATGTTACAGTGAGATCGCCTTTGCAACCGCGCGCTCCTAGCCACGTTCCATTGGCCGATCTTCTTTAATTAATTTTTCGTTAATTATTGCAAATATCGCCAAACAGTAGAGAACCTTCCTTCTTAATTTGAGCCTATCTACCTTCACACTTTGGGACCACGACAAGTTTTCACTATAAAAAGTACCGGGACGAAATATCTCGAAAACTAAGCAATTCAGAAAAAAATGTTTGATAAAAGTTGTAAGATTTCAAAAGATCTATTTACTGGCGCTATGAGTTTAACCTTGGATAGCATCGCCAAGGTCAGAGCAAGATCACCTAGAATTTTTTAAATGGGACTCTATTTTTATTGCATATTCTTGTAGCCCTTCTTCAGACCTTTTCAAAACTATAATTAAGTTAGTTTTCATTAAGTACTTTTCGAGTTATGAGGCTTGAAATCATTTCTTAATTTTACAAACCGTAAAATATCTTTTAAAATATTCATTTTTCGATTACTTTATCTTAATACTTTTATGTACAAAATAATGAAAGGAATCAATTGGTGTAAAGAAAACACATAGTTGTTTTGAAGAAAAAATATGTAATTTGTAATTAACAATTACATATTTTAAGGGAGACGAAATTGTCACGAAATTGGCTATAAAAGATGAACTCGGTTCTTTCATTACAGGTTTCACAAGATTATTTTGATATGCTTTATTTTCAAATATTAATTTAGAATATTATTGAATTTTTATATCGATAATTCTGTTTTAAATTCTATTGTATTTGTCTCTTATAATATTTGATTATTTTTCATATTTTATGTCGTGCTTCAATTTCAATAGTTAAATCGTATGTATATGATGTATATTCCCAATAAACACTGTTTGTTGCAATAATATAATATGGAAGTAATAAATAATATAACACATGTTCCCTGAATGATATAAACCTAAAATAAATATTATTTTACAAAATTATAATAATAATGTAACAGAATATTATTGCAATATAATATTATTATATATTATATATATTATATAGTTTTTGTTTGCCGTTACTTGACATCAGACTTAGATCGGAATTCCGATCTTATATTTAAGATTGTCTTAAGTCTGGTCTTAGGTCGTCTTAAGATTCTATTCAGCCAATGAAATAGCCCGTATAACATTTTCAAATCTTATTTAAGATGATCTTAAATATAAGAACGGACTATGAATACGGACCTTAGTTAATTCATATTTAATTTTTCATCATAAAATGAGTATAAAGCCTACAAAAAGTGAGTAACATAAAATCTCTTTTTTGTCAACTTAATTTCTAATACCAACAAGGGATTCAGAATATTTGAAGATTTAAACAGATTATTTGAAATTGGAATGAATAAGAAATAGTTATTTTACTATTTATTTTAATAAAAACAAAAATTGAAATTTCTATATAAATTAAATTTTGAGTTTTACGAATTAAATATATATAATATATATAAATAACTAAATATACTAATAATATATATAAATAACTAAAATAAATTAAATATATAAATATATATTTATTTTAGTTGTTTAATTACCAACTTTTAGTTTGTTTATTTTAATTGTTTAATTACCAACCTTATAATATATCAATATTCTATGTGAACCAATTCTATGAAATATAACTATGATGTAACAACGATATAACATGTGTTATATTACATTTATGATAAATTATAATTAATTAAATTAATTATAGTAACTTACATACATATAATACATGTGCATATAATATTACTTGTAACATTTCATTTCATTGATTTTATATTATATGCAGTGTTTACTGGGTTATTCATAACGCTAAATTGATACTATTCTTTCAGATATATTGCGAGGAATTTTGAAATAAATATGTTAACTTCGTTCAGTTTTCACTGATAATATTTTTATTTTCTTTTCCCTTTTGATTTAAAAGTGTACATTCAACCTTGTTACATTTATGTTGCTATTTGCTTTAGAATGTCAAATCGAAATCATCTGGTAACTTGGAACGATACGTAACAAAGTCATTGTGCTTACAATAATCGGTAAAAAAGGTGAGATATTGGATTTCTTCATCTGTTGGTTTTGGCGGAAGTGATGGCGGCGTCGTTTTCACCGTGATAGGCATTGAACGTCTATTTAGCGGTCGCTTCTTTTTCGAAGGTGGTTCCATAATATGTTTCAGCGCATCCAATAGTCGGTGCATTAGCTGAAACTAAATATATAAATTATATAATAAAAACATTAATTATGTATAAGGTATTCTTCTAATGATTATCTATTGTGAAATTAAAAATATTTTAAAAAATTGATATAAAAAAAATTGATATAAAAAATTGATGATATGTATTTATAAAAGTTCAATTGCTTTGCATAATTTTCTTGTTAATTTATTATTTCTCTTTTTGCATGATTTTTTTTATTTTTTTCTATTCTTTTTCAAATCTTCAAATTGATAATGAATGTAGAAGACATAAAGAGCAATGAAATAGAAAAAAGTTGGAAAAAAATATCAAAACAAGCTCTATCAACAAATTTATTCGTGAATTAATCAACAAGTGTATGTAGACTGAATCTATGCATGATGAAATTATTAAACTAATAATTAAAAACTTAGATCCATAAAATATATATTTTATTTAAATATATTCACTCGTCAATAAAATTATAGCATAGGTAATTTCATGTCAAATTTTCGCATAATTTCAAATAAGTATAACTCCGTCAAAATGGTCGTATTTGAAAATTTTTTTTTTCCTTCTCAAGCTTAAAGCCTCTATTTTAAAAATCATTTGTCAGATTTAAAATTTATCTTCGCCTCTCGTCATCTCCTTAACAGTAAGGACGCGTTTTGTTTCCAAAAAATTACATAATTTGACGCATTCCACGGGGTGGAATAAATTTTTTTCGCAAATTCATGATAATTATCATAAAATATGGACGTTTATGTGTGAATTAAAAAAGAAATGAAGTATGTATGATTTTTTTTCGCGGAATTACGACACATCAAAGTTACTTATACATTTTTGTTCATTTACCGCCAACATTAGTATTACCTGATGCCACGAGAAGGTTGTTGATCGGATTTGGCGCATCATGTGTGTGTGTGTGTGTGCGCGCGCGCGCGCGCGCGCGCGCGCGTTCGTGTGCGTGTGTGTGTGTGTGTGTGTGTCCACCTCGTGGAATGCGTCAAATTATGCAATTTTTTGGAGACAAAACGCGTCCTTATTTTTAAGGAGATGACAAGAGGGAAGGAGGATAAATTCTAAATCTGACAAATGATTTTTAAAATAGAGGTTTTTAGCTTGAGAATGAAAAAAAAAATTTTCAAATACAAACATTTTTGAATTATATTATACTTATTTGAAGTTGCGAAAATTTGACATGAAATTACCTATGTGATAATTTTATTGACGAGTGTATATATACAGGGTGATTCAAAATAACCCTATAGTCCCTGAAATGACACATTCTTGAGTTAATTCTAAAACGATTTTTCCTTTGGCAAAATTCAAAAATTAAGCTTTGGATAAAATTTTCAAAAGAAAAATCGTCTTAGAATTGACTCAAAAATGTCATTTCAAGGACAATAGGATTATTTTGAATCACGCTGTATATATATTCATTCTTAAAGCTATTTTTATAATTCCCAAAATAATCACTGCAATTGATTACACAAAATATTTTGTATAATGTAATCGATATCAAAAAAATATATTTAAAATATTTTTAAAATTTATATTTATCAAATAATTATTTTCAAATATTTATTTATTAAATAAAAAAAAACAGAATTTTGAATTTGACTTTTACCTTTTTCGCAGCATTTTCCGCCTCTTTTATAGCTTTTCTTTCTTGTCTGAATCCTTCTTTTTCACAAGTCCGGACAATTTCACGAGGTAAATTGTCTAACTGACGATTCAATTCTTCATGGATTCTTTCGATCCATTTCATCATTGAAAAGCTATCAAGATTTGCATCATTTGGACCCACACAACTCTCATAAGTATCTTCCACGAAAACACGAAGATAAAGCACTTCTTCAGAGCAGACAAGATGTCGAAAAATATTTCGAAGAAGATAATTGAAGTGTTCTTCAAGGTTTGCTGCTCTATCCTCCGCTTTGCTAATGGAATTCTATTAAATATTTCGACTTATAAAACTAATTATCAATGATAAAAAACCATTAAACATTGTTATATTAATATTATATAAAAGCAATAAACTAGAAAGGAAAGGAAAGTTATGAGTAATATACAAACAAAAATATTATCAATAAATTATTAGTAAATTCCTATTCATAAATGTAACATATGTTATATTGTTGTTACATCGTTATACTTATTTATATGTAGTTAATTCATATAAAAAATTGTTTATATATGGAATTGATAATTAAATAAATAAAATATATCATATATATTTAATTTATAAAATTCGAGATTTAATTTATATAGAAATTTCGATTTTTTGCTTGAATTAGACAATAAAAATGAACTATCTTATTTATTTGTTAAATTTTTTTAATAATCTATTTAATATTTTAAATCCCTTATTGGAATTGTGAAATTAAATTAACAAAAGAAATATATTTCGAATCTTATATTAGTATATGTTAGTATATCTATTTTTTGTAGATTTTATATTATTTACATGACGAAAAATTGAATATAAGTTACTTAAATTTAGTTTTGCTGCATAATGACAAGTGAAGAAATAACAATATCATATTGCAATAATATTCTGTTACATTGTTGTAATATTCTAAAATAATACATATGATATATATAATTTTATATCATATAAGTAATTTACGCAACATTATTTGTTACTTCCATAGTATTACTGCAATAAATATTGTTTATTGAAAAATAATTATAAATTGAAAGTTAAATATTATATAGACATTTTTAATATTTTTCTGGGATATATAAATTTTTTCTGGGAAATATAATATTTAAGGAAATTTTATAAAATTCAGTTGAACCATTTTTTATACGTATTTTTAAGTAAATAATATTATGTGTGAATTGTATGTGAGAAAGAATGAGAATTTAAATAGATATATACTTCTAAATTGTTGATAGTTGAGGTAATCTCATCGATCTCCTGCTTGATTTGTATTTCTGTTGCAGTGATAGTCATAGTCATGTCCGCCATTGGTGCCGCGAGTGATTCGAGATAAATCAATGCGTTTAAATTTTGTGTTTCCATTGTTCGGAAAATTCGAATTAAATCGAAAGGATCCTCGAAATAAAGCTCGGTGGAGTCAGCATCACTGACGTCCTGCTCGAATAGCTCTAATACGAGAGAAAATAATTTACATTTTTTCTAACAAATTATTGAAAATTTAAAGAATTCTAAAATTATTATTTTTAAAATCATATTAAATTATGATATTAGAAACAAAAATAATTTTTTAAATATATTTTTCACGTATATAATAATAATTCTTAAAGCTTACCTTTTTAAAGAGAAGGTAAAAAAAGGGCACCAAGTTCATGCACTAATTGTATCCAACTATTATATTGTCTACAAAAATAATGATATAAAAAAATTGCGCCAACTAAGAGTAAAAATTTGTACAAGATAAATAGAATTACAAGGAAGAAAATTTGTACAAGTTAAATAGAATTATTTTAATTAAAAACATTGTTACAAAATAGTTGTTTTAATTTTCAAGAAATAATATTAAAAAATTAAAAATTTATTTAAAATGTGAAAAAAATTGAAAACTGAAAATTAATATAAAACAAAAAAGTAAAAAAAAATTAATTAAAAAACTTGGCGCTGCTAATAATAATTCTCTAATATCATTGATTCTTTTCTTTCTTTCTTTTTTTTCTTTCCTTTTTTTCTTTTGTAATCATTAAAATTATAATTATATTATGAATCGCACGCATTGCATGCGAAATATTAATTTTTTTATGTCGTATATTTTGTAAACTAAAATTTAGAAAAATATCTTTTTCTGATGCATAAAAAGATAATCGTATACTTCTGCATGGCTTATGATTTCACAAAATTATATTATAATTTAAAGTGAATACTTAAAACAAATATGTTACAATTTGTTTCATGTTTTGTAAATAAATTTGATTAATCGTTTTATCGTGGTTTTTTAATCATCATTTGATTAAACTTTAATTTTTCATCGTTTCAATCATTTGATGAAACTTTATTTTACCAAAATTGCAATCTTTGCAATAAAAGTCACATATTGGTAAAATTTAAAAGAAATATTTTTTCATTCTTCTAGAATAATAATATTAAATATGCATTAAGCAAATAAAATTTGATTAATACACACACATTATTAAATGAGTAATACAACATACGTTAATAACCTAATAAACAATATTTCAGCAGATTGGCAGCAGATCAATCATATAACTTGTGTTATGTTATTTGTTATTTCAATGTTATGTTACTACAACAAACAGTGTTTATTGAGAATATTTTATCAGGAGTTACCTATTAAGTCCTCCAAAGAGGCATCTTCATTTGGTGTTTTATATTTGCTAAACAAATCCGTAGCATCAATGGAGACAACAAAGCTTGCTGAGTCCAATCGAGAAAGCCAGTCATGTTTAATTTTCCAGGAAATAGGTGATATCCGATAAAGAAAAATTTGACACATTTTCACTATTCTCCAATTGTCTTCCCAAAAATAAACATCCAGTCTGCGTTGACCATATTGTTTTGAGAGTTCGTTTCTTTGAGTGCTTATTACTTCTGTCAGCTTCACTTCCTGTTCCGCTTTTGCTAACATATTCATACTTTTTTCATGATCTTTTGATAAGAATTCTTCGAAGCCACTTATATATCGTTCACTATAATACTTTTGTAAAATAATAAAATAAATTAATTTATATCGAAATATTACTTGACTGACAGGTGTATCAGATTAGAGAAAAATTTCTCATGCATATATATAAAGTTTTATCTAACAATAAGTTTATCATTTTCACTGATGATACAAAAATGTATAAGAAAAATTATCATATATCATATTATGCAGGGTGTCTCATTTTAATTTCCCCAGGCAAATATTTCGGAAAATAATGAAAAATCGAAAAAAAAGAGTTTTAGACAAAAGTTATATGGTTTCTAGGGAGACATAAGATTGTGCCATTGGTTTGACCTTAAAGAGTCATTTGAAGGTCACGTGAAGGTCACTTCAATTTTTTTAAATGGAACACCCTATATATTTTTGCACATTCTTGTAGCTCATCTCGAAAGCTTTCCAAAACACTATAATTAAGTTAGTTTTCATTATCATATCAAGTACTTTCCAAGTTATGAGGCTTGAAATTATTTCTTAATTTTACATAAACCGTAAAATATCTTGTAAAATTTTCATTTTTCGATTATTTTATCTTAATACTTTTGTGTACAAAATAATGAGAGGAATCAATTGGTGTAAAGAAAACACATAGTTATTTTTAAGAAAAAATATGTAATTTGCAATTAACAATTACATATTTTTTCTTTAAAACAACTATGTGTTTTTTTACACCAATTGATTTCTCTCATTATTTTGTACATAAAAGTATTAAGGCAAGATAATGGAAAAATGAATATTTTACTAGATATATTACGGTTTATGTAAAATTAAGAAATGATTTCAAGCCTCATAACTCGAAAAGTACTCAATGAAAAAATATTTTGTTATAGTGTTTTGGAAAGCTCTCGAGATAAACTACAAGAATATGTAATGAGAAAATATAGGTTCCATTTAAGAAATTGAAGGTGACTTCATGTGACCTTCAAATAATTCTTCAAGGTCAAACCAATGGTACCATCTTATGTCCCCCTGGAAACCATACAACTTTTGTCTGAAACATTTTTTCGATTTTTCATTATTTTCCGAAATATTTGCCTGGGGAAATTAAAATGAGACATCCTGTATATATCATATTATATATAAGGAGAAAGTATAATTATGATTTAATTAATTCAGCATTCTTTTTCAGCATTTTTTAAGCATTCTAATAAAGTGGTGTTTTATTTAAATTTTATTCAAACAGTATCAATACATACTTTATTTAAATGTTTTTTTTATTTAAGTACATAATTTTTCATAGAAATGTTAATGAAAAATTTTTAATTATATTTTTCATACCTGAATTTTTCGCAGTCGACATGATTCTTGCTCAAATTGCTGATCAATACGAATATAATCATCCCTTTCTTGACCAATAAGATATTTTAATTTGAGTATCTCTCGTACATTTTGAATATATTGTTTCAATAAAAATCTTTCTTCTACAGGTCTGCCAGATAATTCTGTAAAGTACTGCGGATCCACATCCATCATGACAATTGCTTTGTCTGGACTCTTATATTTTTTTTTGTTTGTTTCAGCATCTACCTGTGTAAAATTTTGAGAATTTATAAGAATGCATGATTTGCGCTTTTTAGGTACTTGAAGGACGAAAATGTACAATAAAATGTTTCTTTAAATTGTCTGTTTTTAGAATAAAAATTATATAAAAGAAGTTTGCTCTACATTATAAAATTCCAAGTAACTTACATATGATTTTTGTAGAATATTTGAAAATTGCAAGGTTGTTTTCCTCTGTCGATCCTTATAGATTTTTTTATGATGTTTTATAATTTTTTTCTTTTGAGTTTTCCACCATTGAAGATGGGCCAAAGTTTGAGAACAGGATGGAAAAATAAAAGGCGACTGTTCTTCTTTTACGGTTATTTCATGATCGCTGGTACAATAATATCGCATTTTAAAATCTTATCAATATTACTCATATAATAACAAATAATATATTTTTTTCTCTGCTTGAAAGAGTACAAATATACATCTGTTTTATTTTAAATTATTTTATTTAAAATATAAGAAAATGCAATTTAAAAAAATGCTTGATTTCTAAAATTAAGCTCATGTCAGAAAATATCTAATAAGTATTCTTAAAGGCTAATACAGTTCAAAGCATAAAGCATGATTACCTATACATCGCTGGTATACGAATATTTCGATCAATTCCATATATCTTAGAATTCATTTTTTGCGTCTTTTCTCTTCAATCAAGATCGAAAGCTATTTATACAAACTTGCGGTAACCATTGTGAGATGTGAAATGTGAGATCCACTGAAAAATCTAATTTGTTTGACATGCGCCGTTCCTATTACATTTATATCGTTTAATTTAAATTGTGTGTGTGTGTGTGTGTGTGTGTGATAATAATTAATAAAATTTAAGATATATAGAAAAGTTAATTATTTTGATGAAATTTTTAATATGTATATATATATATATATATATATATATATATATATATATATATATACGTGTCCCACCTAGAATTGGCCACCCCATTTTATCTTTTAAACTAAAAGAGACCGTAACAAATATATATGAAATTAAATGGCTTGAACTGAACTTTATTGTAAGTATAGTGATTGATTACAAAATTTATCTGCATTGAAGAACGGAGAGATATGTATATTTTTGTTATAATAAATAATATTTTTTATAATAAATAATGTAGATATTTTGATATAATAAAAATTGTAACGCTGTTTGAAACAAATATAACGATTTAATGTAAATATTTTACATATTATACGAGATTTTCGGCTTGAAATATCGGGCGACGTCTACCATTTCATTTTCGGCCCTGCGATATAACCAACTGGAACACGCTGTATATATATATATATATATATATATATATATATATATATATATATATTTAATATACTATATATAATTTAAAACATACATATTTAATATAATATAATACACACACACTTACACACAGGGTGTCTCATATCTCATAAAGATTGATGCTATCAATAAAGCACTAAACTGAACAAAAAAGTCTTTTATCATTTTGTAATTTTTGCAATAATTATTGAAATAATAATTAGAGACTAATGAATATACGTTTTGCACAGCTAGACCATAAGATGCTTTACATGTGCGACGACGGAAAGTAGACGAGAGTCGGAATACGTATAGCCAAACCTTTTTCGTTGCTATGTAACGTTCTGTTGACACACCTAGAGTATGGCACACACATCCCATGATCTAGCATGAAACGCGCGCACATTTGCCAATTCTTCTTAATTAATATTAATAGCCCATAGCGCAAAGAATCGCCAATTGTTGCGATATTGTAACGTTTAATGAAGTGTTGTGTGAAAGACTGCGTCTAGCATCCAATTCTGAGAAAAATCGATTTGGCTCCTTTTATGTGACTTGTCTAAAGCACTCATCTTGTTTCTTGAACATGATTATTGCAACGCTTGAACACGATATTCGTTTTTTTTTTTTTAATGACGTTTGGTTTCAGCTTTCTAATTTCCGATATTTGTTCGAAAAATACAATAAAATAAAATAAAACCAAAATATAATGTCGTACTAATTGATAATTGTTTTTATATATTTAATTCTAATATTTATAAATTATAGGATCATCATAAAAAAACAAATGTATTTAATTCTGTACATTTAGCATACACATATACAATATATTACATATTACAGTATTATATAATATCTATAATAATCTATTGACAGAAGAAGAGTATACATATAATTACAAGTGAATCAAGCATTTTTACAAATTTTATACATAACAGTTAAAAATAGTTAGCAAAAATTGACATTGAGAAACTTGTAATTCATAAAAATTTAAATAATGAAAAAAAGAAGATTATTATTATAAATAAAATGAAGATACTTTTAAGCACAGTTAATAAAGTAAACTCAAAATAATAATAATTATTGCGTGAAAAAAAGAGTAAAAGAAATTCAATTAACATTTTTACCAATTAACATATTTTAATAATTAATATTGAATTAAAATATACACAATTTTATAGAGGAATAATCTATTTTTCTTTATTTATATTTATCCGTAACTGATAGTATAACCCATAGACAGCATCAATGTCTCTTTAATTGCTGGGTGTAATTGATTTTCGATATATCTAGTCAATACTTGACTAGCACCTTGCAAAAATACATCTTCCATTTCTCTTGTAATGTATTCCTTCGACTGCCAATTTCTGTTCGAATCTTCTGAGTCAATAGGAAATAGATTATCGAAATTGTCATCCATCACGAATTCTCTTACTTCTCGGGATATATTTTGCGTTGAATTTTTGCTTTGTATGTTATCGGTTAAATTAAAAATTTTCGTAAAGTTTACAAACTTCTCCGTTTGTTCGCGTTCATTCATAACGGTTTCTGCGAACTTTTGTGGTGTAATAATTGCTGCGGTATGTCCGAATTGATGTCGAGCTACTGTCGAACGTCTTTGACGAAGTGGTGATTTAGTTATCCACGAATTCTTCTTCCATACGCCAAAATTTGTTTCAAGAATATGAGGGTAAGATGAATATCGACTATCATTGGGTATAACAACGTCTGTTTCTTCAGTGATTTCCGCTAATTTTCTCGGTTCCGCTGCATCGTACTTTTCATTCACGAGCGATAGTGTAGGTGTTACCTATGAAAAGAAGACACACACACAGTAGTAGTTTACAGAGTAGTTTACTTTTACATAAAGTGTTATAAAAATATATGTAGCTACTCGTTGCAAATTTATATATTTTCTTATACTCGTAAAGAACTATATTTTCTTTATACAAATTTATTTCTCCTGTTGTTTTATGCATAAAAGCATTGAAGAAAGATAATTAAAAAATAAATATTTTATGAGGTGTTTAATAGTTTATATAAAATTATATTGGTATGTCTTAAAGTATAAATTATTTCATAAACTATCCAATTTTTGGTTATCTTAGTCTTATAATTTTTAATGCCAAATACTACAAGAAATTTGTATAAAAAATTAGTGTAATTCGAATAGTAACAATTTTTATGAAATTATAAAACTTTATAACATATGATTGGAAATAAACATATAGAATAAAAATATAAAAAAAGCTTTAAATAATATATGATGTAATTATAAGTATATATAAAGTATATTAATTATGTAATATATCATATTTATATGATATAATACAAAGCAATTTATATTATAAAATTATAAGATAAAATGACTAAAAATTGAAGGTAATTATTTAGCTTAGGGGAGCCACCTCGGATAACCTTGACCTTGATATATATTGTCAAGGTAATGACTCTGAGTAACATTCAAAAGGTTTTAGTCGGCACTCATTGTTTATTTAAAAGTTATAAATAAAAGAAGTTTTAGAATATATTTTTCGGATATATTTTTCGGATACTATGTATTGTACATACATATATTATGGATTTATAACTTTCTATGCAAAGCGAAGTATACTCCATACCACGGACATGGGTTTTTCGTACACAAGTACTTCTTTATAATTTGTTATTAAAACGAGAAATCCATAGAATTTTATTTTCTATTTAATTCACTTTAAATTGAGTGTTACTCTTCCAACAATCTATTTTATTTTGTACCGACTCATATTTCCTTACTTTAGTATAAGAAATGTAAACAAACCAATCTAAACGAATAAGATAATACATATATTGATAAACCTTCGGAAAATCCATCTATATGAAATAATGGATCAAAATACTCAATTCTTACGTATTTCCTAACCTAACCTAACCTCCTGAACACGAATATGAAACTTAAAAATGACGATCGAACTTGCAAGTCGAAGAAAAACGCAAAAAAAAGTAAATTAAAAGTAAATAAAAAAGTAAACAATTTAAATTTATATAGAATTTAATACAATTTAATACAATTAAAAAATATCACAAATGTAATTGTTAATTGCAAATTACATATTTTTTTTTCGAAATAACTATGTATTTTCTTTACACCAATTGATTCCTCTCATTATTTTGTACATAAAAGTATTAAGGTAAGATAATCGAAAAATGAATATTTTACGGTTTATGTAAAATTAAGAAATGATTTCAAGTCTCATAACTCGAAAGTACTTAATGAAAACTAACTTAATTATAGTATTTTAGTAAACTCTCGACCATATCCCAGATAGCACACATGTCCAAAAGACATCTAAAAGACGACTTAAAGATGTCTTAAAGTCCTTTAGACATCTTTAAGACATCTTTTGGCCTTTTTGTGCTGTCTGGATAGCTATAAGAATATGTAATAAAAAATAGTGGTTGCCATTTAAGATTTTTATGGTGACCTTGACTGCACTTTTCAAGATCATCCCAAGATCAAATAAATACCATCAGCTAATAGATATTTTAGGCTATTTTTTTCTGTCTAAACCATTTTTTCAAAAAATTAATATTTTCTGAGATATTTAGCCGTTCCGGAACTTTGCTCTATCCTATATACAGGGTGTCCCATTTTATTTTTGTCAGTTAAATATCTCGATATTACTTAGAGTTAGAAAAAAATGTTTCAGACAAAAGTTATATGGCTTGAAGGGAGCCATAAGATAATGTCATTGAATTTGACCTTGAAAAGTCGTTTGATGGTCACGTGAAGGTGACTTTCAATTTTTTAAATGGAATCCCTATTTTTTTATTACTTATTCTTGCAGCTCATCTCGAGAGCTTTCCAAAACACTATAATAAAGTATTTCTTCATTGAGTACTTTTCGAGTTATGAGGCTAGAAATAATTTTTTAATTTTACATAAACCATAAAATATCTAGTAAAATATTCATTTTTTGATCATCTTACCTTTTATGTACAAAATAATTAAAGGAATCAATTGGTGTAAAGAAAAAACATAATTGTTTTTAAAGAAGATATGTAATTGTTAATTGCATATTTCATTTCAAATTACATATTTCTTCTTAAAAATAAGGTTAAATCTATAGTATTATTTTATGTCTTCCTTGAAAATAAAATATTTTTAAGAAACATTTTTTTGTATAATATTTTTTGAAATATTTGTATGCGGCAGTCAAAATAAAACATTATATATCATATATTAATTATAGTCTTTTTTTACATTTTCTATATGCTCATTTCCAGTCAGATGCTATGAAATAATTGTAAATGTATTGTTTTGTAAAAGTAAGTAGTAGTTTACCTGTTCACTGCTTGGATTATAATATGGCGGCCATTTATCTTGTCGTTTAATTTGTTTGTTGAGGCGCGTAGGATGACATCCATATGCATAAATCGAAGCGAATCTAGGCTCCAAAAAACTGGATTCCGTACGTATACGCATCTGACCACGTCCACGAGCGATTGGACTCGTATGAAAGTCTATTCCTGCTCGTCTTAATCTCAATGTCATTCTACAGGATTCGGCGGAAATTGGGACATGATAATTTCGAGACATTAGTGATACTATCGCAGATACTGATAGGTCATTAAATATAACGCGTGTTTTCAGAGAATTACTATCGGAGTCATACATGCATTGTTCAACTCGCGCCCAATGGCTTCCCGGCTTTTTTGTGTTTTCCAGGAGCTGTAAAATAATCCAAATTATACGCATGATTAGCTTATTATTTGCTGAATTTTATTTACTTTTTATAACAAATTTCATTTGAAGCAATCTTTTACGCGTTCGCTGAATAGTCAATATGGAGTAGATTGTCCGAAATAAAAAAATTTTAATAATTCTATTATATTACAACAAAAATAATTTTATTTACCATAAAGATAATACTGCTGTCAAATATTTATTATAAAATAATATTTAATATAAAATGAATAATATTTAATATGAAATGAATAATATTTAATATTTAATCACATCGTTTAATAATGTATATATATATATATATATATATATATATATATATATATACATATATGTATGTATGTATGCATGTATGTATATATACAATATATATATATATATATATATACAGGGTGTCCCATTTTAAGTGTCCACCCCAAATATCTCTATAATTTTTGATTTTAGAGAAAAATGGTTCAGATATATTTTGTATGGTTTCGAGGGAGTCATAAGATGGTACCATCAATTTGACCTTGAAGAGTCATTTGAAGGTCACGTGAAGGTTACCTCAATTTTTTTAAATGGTACCCCTTATTTTTTATTACATATTCTTAGCTGACATTTTTTATTACATATTCGTAGCTAACCTCGAGAGCTTTCCAAAATACTATAATCAAATGTTTTTTCGTGAAGTACTTTTCGAGTTATAAAGCTCCAAATTTACAAAATTTTGATAAAAATACAAAATATTTCGTAAAACATTCTTATGGCCTCCTCGAAACCATACAAAACATGTCTGAACCATTTTTCTCTAAAATCAAAAATGAGAGAGATATTTGAGGTGAACACTTAAAATGGGCATCCTGTATATATATATATATATATATATATATATATATATATATATATATATATGTGTGTATTGTATACATACATACATACATACATACATACATACATACATACATAAAATACATACATATAATATATATATATATAATTTATAATTAATAAAAAAAGTTATTAAAAAACAATCATTATCTTTTTTGAGTTAGTAAGTTAGCAATATAACTACGTTAGTAAAAATATATCATCTTATTTTTAAAAAGATGTTGATAATCCCTCTGCAAATCTCATAAAATATATAAGTGAAAAAATTTATGTTGTACTATATTATTGTGTAGTTGTATACATATTTATATATCTTAATATTTGATTCTTTAGGACGAATGATTTTCTTTGACGTTTTTTCAAATTATTATTAAGAGAAACAGAGTCTGTATGCTGAAATTAATTAATATACTGATGAAAAATTTGTGTTAAGTTTAATTGACATATATCGCATGTTCCAAACGGTCCATATTTACATTAATTTAACATAATATGAATATGTTAAATGATGACACTAATATTATGTTAATCCTCTATAGGCCGATTTTTTTTCGTGAAATCTCAACCTCTAAGTACAAATTGACAATGAATTTTCAACTTTTTGGATTTACTTTGATGTCTCAAAATAAAGTTAATGTAACATTATTTATATTAAAAATAACAATCTAAAAATGTTATGTTAACAGTTTATTTGTTAAATAATTTGTTTTATATGTTAAGTTTTAACTGCTAATAAATATGTTAACTGTATAAATATTAATTATATAAAAATGTTTTTTCACAGTCTAGAAATGTTGAAAAATTTTGATAGTTCAGGATGGTAAAAAAAGTAACATTGATCGCATATTGTCATCGAAAATACATTTTTAATGAAGATTACAATGTAATTAAAATGTGATTACCGATAATTTTTTAAAAATCTCATAATCTCATAGTCTTGTAACGATTCCTTGCACTGTTATTCCCGGCATGCGAAGCTGCCGCCCGGTAGAACACCCACCGGGTATAGGCAGGGGCGCGGTGCGCTCACATTTTTTTTAAAATCAAAGACACGTATGGCTTTAAGCCATTAGGCTAATTGTAAAATTAGCCGAACACCAGCGAGCGTAGCCGATGTAGTTCGAATCGCCGATCGGCGAAACCCGCGTTCGACGCACCTCCTGAACCCTTTCGAACGGGCTCGACCGGGCCGTATCGTTTTCCGAAAACCCGTTCAGAAGGGGTAATACCGCCGCGCGCCGGAGCGGGCAATTATACGGTATAAAAGGGGCACATTTGGATAACTAATCAACCTTTTCCGATTCCGCTCACGTAAGTGAAACGTCTCCGAAACCTAGACCGCTCCTAAGAAATAGCCAATATTCAAGATCCGGAGGTAGAAAGAACTCTTCCTCCATCGAGCACTCTCAATACTTGATACCGCTCATTAGAGATGGGCGATGTTTACCGATTAATCGCAATGGTCGATAGTTTTTTTTCTAATAATCAATTAAGCGGTTCGATATTTTCCTTATCCGATGTATCGATGTTCGATTCTTTATGTCAGACATCGAAGTTTTATTTTTTTTCTTATCAAAACATCTCATTGTAATAAAGCGTCGTCTACAATGAGATTTTTAAAGGTAAAGATTTAATCTATAGAATATAATCTCAAAATTGTTAATATCATCTTATATTAAACTTACCAAACTTTTTTATAGTGATTGTACAAAGTCTTTTATAATTTCTTAAAAATCAATATT